GGGAACAGCGCTGGGGAATTGGGGGAAGGGGAACAGACAAGTTGCTGTCCTTTTTGTTCTTCAGTCTAGTTGTGGAGGACGTTGCTTTACTGGCCAAAGCTGGCACCATCATTGCGCTCTTCCCGGGTGAGGCAGATCAGTCACCGGCTTCTGGATGGCCGCTTGCTGCAGCTGCTGGCTGCTGGCCACACACGGTAGCCCATGGCAACCCACTGCAGCAAGGGCTGCAGCCTACGCAGTCACCAGCGACTCACGGCAGCCCAGCTCCAGGTTGAGCTGTTGTTCAGCATCTTAACTGTAGAGGGCAGTGTCACTGGCCCTCATATGTGGAATCCGAACCGGGGCTCTCTGGCATCCCAAGCCAGCTCTTAACCAACGCGCCACTCGGCCGGCCCGCAGAGTTATTTTAAAGTTGTCTGGATGTCTATAGGTGGGTTGCTATCCAAATATTTATACCCTGCCCTTTTTACTCATGTCTGTTACCCACCTGACCCCTGAATATGAGTCATGACCCATGATATACTCCTGGCCATAATGGTCTTCTTGCTTCCTTCCTGACCCCCAATTTTTTTTTCTATCTCTAAGACTTTGCTCATGCCATTGCCTCTGCTTTAAATGCTCTTTCCCTTTCCCATTTATCAAATCAAATGCATCTTTGATTCTCAACTGTCACGTCCACTCTGCTCAACCAGCTCAAGGTGAGTGATAGCTTTCAATTCTGTATTGGAATTATTTGGGTACATGTCTTATGTCCCTTGACCAACTGTAAGTTCCTGGAGGACAGGCTTCATGTCAGATTCAATTCTGTATCCTCAGTATAAGAGGAAGAAACTTATGGTTCCAGATTAGCAAATGTCTGCTGAATGAATGACCATAAAAATTGAGCCCCAATGGACCAGCATTCATGGAGTGCTCAGAGTGGGGTAGACTGCAGCAACAGCAGTAACAAAATCTTAGTGAATGCCATCTAAAGGTCCAGTATTCCTCACAGGTCACTTTCAATATGGTGCCAGGGCTTCAAAAAGAATAGAACGCAGGATGAGTTCTGAGTCACCTCTCTAGGCCTCCAGACTAATTAAATTGATTATTCCCACTTTAGGAACTCACTGAACATTCAACAAGTTTTCTTATTCTCTGCTAGATATTGGAAATATAGACATAAGCAAGATATGGTCTCCGTTTTGAAGAAATTCCCAGTATACATTTGTGATTTGATGTGAAAACTTCACCATCTCTTATCACCAACATACCGATGTCTGACCTAGCCACCCCCAAAACTATAGTCTAGGTTTGGGGACCCTGAAGCTGTCAGTCTTGGATATTTCATTTAGCTAATATTTTGGAGGTTATCTAGTAAGTACCAGGTACGGTCCTAGGTATTGGATCCACAGTGATGAATAAGACATACTCGTATACAATCTTGTTCATGAAGATCACCTTCTATCAAATTGCTTATAGTTCTCCAAGAATTAAGTACTTTCCAAAATCCTTGCCCTAGTACATGCTGTTCTTGTTTTTTGGCAATGGCTCGTTTTCCCTGTGTGTCTCACCACTAAGTAATAAGCAATTTGAGGATATGGATTCTTGTCATGTTCATCATCTCCCACACCTCAGAGAGGTGCTGAAACACAGTAGGCATACATAAATAGCCATTGAAAAGAGTAGTGTATTAAGTCAATATAATTCCAATTAGAATTTTAGCAGAAGTTTCTGGCAAACATGACAAACTCATCAACCAATAAAGGGCCACAAGTTGCTAAGAGAGTTCTAGAAAGATAGATCAGGGCCAGCCGAATGGTGTGTTCGTTAAGAGCTGGCTTGGGACACCAGAGTGCCTCGGTTGGGATCCCACATATGAGGGCCAGTGACACTGCCCTCTACAGCTAAGATGCTGAACTACAGCTCAACCTGGAGCTGGGCTGCGGTGAGTCGCCAGCGATGGCATAGGCTGCAGCCCCTGCTGCAGGGGGTTGCCATGGGCTACCATGTGTAGCCAGCAGCC